CTCCTTGGCAACTTGAGACTGCTGGAGAATAAACTACCACTTCGTACTTCGCATTTTGACACTCAGAGTCAAACCGCACTACGATGAGGGACTAGACCATCGCTGGGAGAAGGAAGGGGGAGGAATCTTAACAGGAGAAGCTAATTAGTAGTTAACAGGCAACGTCATTTTACCTTAGGTAAACATGGGCTCAACTCTGCGTTCACAGTCAAGAATCGCTACTTTATAAATTCAATAAAACAAGGATAGTTGATCATATTTTGCAAATGCAAAACTACTGGCGGTAGCAGACATTAGCGATTGAATTTTACTAAAAAAATTTGCGACAACGATGACAAAAATTATAATTGGGCTCTAAGAAAACTACCAAATTAGAAAAGTCCAAAAGAGAGCCATGCACACAAAAGGATTGGTTTTGAAAGAAGAATTTGCTTTTAGTTTAAAGAACGAGGATAAGAGTAGATGGGGAGAATGGGGGAAAGGGAAAGAGGAGAAATTTTCGCCAAGTACGTCAGGTGAGGCGCACAAAAGAACTTTTCATGCTCAAAAGTTGTTAGAGACAAGATGATTAGGAAGAATTCTTTTTCAAGAGCACCATTTGATGATTTAAAGAAAGGGCTGCATTTCTACGAGAGGCTATCTAATTTGTGCCTGTTATTCATTCTTGAAGCATGGCAATTCTTCACCTGTCGCATGGTCCCATACCCTTCTCTGTAGTAGGCTGCTGGGATCCAAAGTACTCAAAAGGATTAATGGACCATTTTTAGACGACGTTTTATCCAAGGTGACACCTTGCACGATGTTGTTCGACAAGGTCTCATGTGCTTGTACGCACTTGCACCTCACACTGTTCATGAAGAGTCTTCTTTGCAAATGGTTTTTGTGCATATCCAGACCTACCAAGGCATGGTAAGGTGAACCTTCTTACATGAGATTGTTGATGTATTGCATTAATTGAGATCGATTCAATCGCGAAACTGCGCATGCAGGACATGTGCCCGGCCAATGACACATCCTCGTGCAAACTGAGGTATGTGAATTTAAGTGGGATCTGAACAGCCTTGACGCAGAAACTTCAACTTTTCTAGCATTCTGTTGCAAATATGAAGTTAAGAGCATCAGTCCAATACACACACCTATAAATATAAAGCACAAAATCTGTGCGTAGAGGGAGAGGGTAAAGAGAGGAGAGCAGTCTCATGCTCCAAATACAATTTTTTGTTTTTAAATCATTAGCGTACGGATAACGTAGGTCACCTTATCCGGAATAGAAAATCGGTCGATTTCAGTAATTTATTAGATTCTTTTTTTTGCATTTTGCGCTCTGTTGAATTAGTACAATGAGATAGGTTGGTATGCTGATTATGGATATGATTACCACCCAAAGATTTGTCCATCGGTTTTATAATTTGATACGCAATCCTGATTTTAAGGCGCCGGGGTTTGTTGTACTGGGGATAGTTGATATGCTGAGTGCAAAAATGATATTTCGAAGATTTATCGTTTTGTGCTGATTTGTTGGTTTTCTTGATCAGTGGGATAAGTTGATGTGCTAATTAGGAATTGATAACCATTCGAAGATTCATCTATCGATTTTACTGATTTTGTCATGTTTTCGCACTCTTCGCTCTGAGGGATTGGGAGTTGGTGGCTGGAGCAACCTGACATGCTGATTACGATTTTGATAATTACTCAAAATTTTATTGACTGACTTTATTGTTCATCCACCTTTTCGCATTTCTCGCCTTGGAGACTAAAACTGGTGAATAAGTATGTTAACATGTGCGCAAAAGTTCGAGGTTAATAATTGCAGCCGCGATTGACTAGAACATCGATTCTACACTGAAATCTCGAAATGCTGAGCTGTGCCCCTTTCAGAAAAGAATTAATTTCAAACCTAGAAATCTACCGACTAAACCAGCCGGGTGTAGCCGGAAGTGAAGGAGCTGTAGGCAGATTAAAAAAACCAAATTCTATCGATTGCACTCAACTCCTTTGGCTTCGTAGCAGATAGATAAGGCGAGACTGAGTATGAGCTAATCCGCTAGAGCTGTTTGCTGGCTTGTTGGAA